GGATAAAATAAACATTAATTAAATTATAAAATTCAATTAAATTATCTTTTTTATCTCCTCAAATCACACCAGGCACCGGGTGTATACGCAGCTGCTGGTATTCTGCGGTGTACAGGCAGCTCCGCATGGGGCCCCTCCGATGCAGCAAAGAATAAAACCCTAAACCCTAAACCCTAAAAAAAACAAATCCATATCCAACGATAACTCTTTAAAATATATCCCCGCACGGGATGCAAGGGTTTAGGGTTTAGGGTTTAGTGTTTAGGGTTTAGGGTTTAGGGTTTAGGGTTTAGAGAGTTGGTGTGATGGATTACTTATTAAGTTTGGATTCTGCGGGGGAGTTTGGGTCGATCAAGCGAGAAGACATCAGCAGCAACCACAACAGCAGCAACAGCAGCAGCAGCAGCAGGAGCAGCAGCAGCAGCAGCAGCAGCAGCAAAGGCTCCCCCTGCAGCCGGGTGTACAGACTGCTGCAGCTCATCGTACAGCCCGAGTGGCAGCGCCTGGCGGACCCTTCATCAGCTGAGTGGTTGGAGGCCTTCAATCGCCGTGTAGCAGCAAGAGAGCCGCTTACCTCTCCTGCTGCTGCTGCTGCTGATGCTGCTGCTTTTGCTGCAGCAGAAGCAGCAGCAGCAGATGCTGCTGCTGCTGATGCAGCTTCGTCAGCTGCTTGGACTGCATCAGCGGGATCAGATACAACTGCAGCAGCAACTGCAGCAGCAACAGCAGCAACTGCAGCAGCAGCAGCTCCTGTCTCCGTAGACGAAAAGCCTCCTGCTGCTGCTGCTGCTGCTGCTGCTGCTGCTGCTGCTGCTGCTGCTGCGTTTGATGATTTTACTCCTAAGGAGCAGTTTTTGCTGCTGAGCAAAGTTACAAGTAGAATAGTGAGGCGCATACACCCCAGCAACTCTTTATCTCTATATATTGTATATATATATTAAATATATATATTAAACATATATATATATATATATATATATATATATATATATATATATATATATATATATATATATATATA